CTCTGACTCACGGAGACCCTATGTGCGTCAGAGCAGAACTGTGCTCCACAAGGTGTCCACTGGCTGGTGTTTTGGAAGTAGATTGCCAGCCCTTTCTTCTGAGGCACCTCTGGGTGGACTTGAACCAACAACCTTTTGATCAGTAGCTGAGAGTGTTAACTGTGTGCCACCCAAGGGAGCAGAGTGGATAGATCACATATTACATAACACTCCCAGCAGTTTGGGGCGACACACCGCCATACTATCTCAGCAGAAGGCATGAATTCCATGAAGTAGGTTAAATAAAGACCCACACAACCTCACACCAGCTTCAGGCCAAGATTTGTTGACAAATGAGCTCTAGTGCTGTCTTTATGAACATCGTTTGGTTTTCAGAGTTTTTTGGATTTCAGAATTGGGTTGAGGGACTGTGTTGTTGTTATTGTTATGTGCTGTTGAGTCAGACCTGACTCATAGCGACCCCTCCTTGGGTTTTCGAGGCAGTATCATTAAGGAAGTAGATTGCCCCATCTTCCTTCCGAGGAGTGGCTGGTGGGTTTGAACCGCCAGCCTTCTGGTTAGCAGTCAAGTCCCTTAGGCACTACACCACCAGAGCTCCCTGTGGGACTGTGGACCTATATATATCTCTGAGGATATGTGCTTGAAAGTGTATACACGTGTGTGTGTGTTACTATGTTTTTATCTGGGTCAATGTGAACATGTGTGGTTTATATGTGTCCTACTATTGTGTGTGTGTGTTTGGGGCATAATAGGTGAAACGCTGGGTTACACTTCAGAGGTGCCTTGGAGCGTGAGATATGCTGCCCTACGCCCCGCTCACCCCGTAACTGGGGCTGTCTGCACTCCTTTGAGGCCTGTGCTTGGTCCAGAAGCACCACATCCATGCCACCCATGTCCCTTCACACCCAGCTGGCAGGAGTCAGGTTTGGGTCTGTTCCACAACCCCAGGCTGAGCAGGACTCCCTGGTGGGAGAGAGGGTCCGACCCCCTCCCTGGAGCTCCCAGTTCTGGCAATCAGCTCTGAATCCCCATCCACGGCCCCACCCTCTCAACTCTGCCTAGTTCTCCCCAGGCACAGTCCCCAGCCCTGAGGCTCTCAGGAGGAGGCCAGGGTTGATGATAACATCTCCATCCTCCCTCCTCGTCAGCCCTCTACAGCCATAAGCCTGAGGTGGCCCAATACACCCACACGGGCCTGCTTCCACAGACCATGCTCATCACCGACACCACCAACCTAAGTGCCCTCGCCAGCCTCACCCCCACCAAGCAGGTAAGGCCAGGCCCCGCCCCCGAGCACCTCCTCCACCCCAGATCTACACCCTGGGGAGCTCAGGCTGCTGCCCTGTGCCTCCAGGTCTTCACCTCAGACACAGAGGTCTCCAGTGAGTCTGGGCTCCACACATCAGTGTCCCAGGCCACCACCATCCACATCCCCAGCCAGGACCCTGCTGGCATCCAGCACCTGCAGCCTGCCCACCGGCTTAGCACCAGCCCCACAGGTGAGTGACTGTCCCCTGCCCCTCACTCTCTCTGTCCTCACTGTCAGGGTGGACATTGTGGCCACGTGTGCAGCAGACTGCGGGCAATGGGAGGGGCATCCCCAGGTTTTGGAGGATACTCTGCCTCTCAAACTCGGCTCTATGAAGCTTGCCAAATGGGGGCGTGAAACCATGGGCCAGAGGGGCCTCACAGGGTAACTCAATGGACCCCAATGAGGAAAGATTAAGTCATCGGAAGAGGCAGGTAGGGCAATGATGAGTAACTGGGCTCGTTTTGGCCAGCCGTGACTCAGGGATGTACTTGCTTTGCCTCCGGCTGAACATTATGAGTTAGTTGCCAACATCAAAGAATCAGCTTTCAAATAGGAATCTGTGTTTCTGGCTTCTCTTAGAAAACTGGAAAGACTCATGTTCCTACGTAACGGTGGAGCGTGGGCTTTCAGCGGCCACATCCCTAGTCAACCGACTCATCCCATTTGTTCCCTATCCCTTGAGTTTATAGCCCATGATGTGTGGTTAAGAGCAGGTACTTTGGAGCCAGACGCCAGCCGTGGTATGGCCACTCATGAACTGTGTGTCTTTAGGCAGGTTGCTTCCCTCTCTAAACCTTGGGCTCCTCAACCCAGCAGCAGGGCAACAGTGGCAGTTACTGACGAAGCGTGCTCCAGGCCCCATGCTTTACACCACCCCCTCCCTGAGTCCTCACCATAAACCCAGAGGCATCTATTGTCCCCATTTTAAGATGACAAAGCTGGCCCTCAAGGAGGGGAAGGATTGCCTCCTCTTCCATAGTTCTTGGGTGGCAGGGCTGGGACTTGAACCCAGGCCTAACTTCAAAGCCACCTCTTAACCATTCTTCCAGGGGTTCTCCAATGTTCCCACTAGAATATTCTGAGGCGGCCAGTCCCTGGGTAGCCCTGGAGCCTGGCTGGGAGCCTGAATAAGAACTGAGGGCAGAGGTTTGACTCTGTGGTTCCCACTATGTGCTATGGCTCAGGAGGTGAGGCCCCGGGGACAGGCAGGCAGGGTGGGTGACAGTGGGGTTGGTGGGGCAGCCAGCAGCCTCATTTCCCTCTGCAGTGTCCTCCAGCAGTCTCGTGCTGTACCAGAGCTCCGACTCCACCAACGGCCACAGCCACCTGCTGCCGACCAACCACAGTGTCATTGAGACCTTCATCTCCACGCAGATGGCCTCTTCCTCCCAGTAACTGTAGCAACTGTCTCCTGGGTTGCCTCCTGTGCTGCCTGCCTGGAGGGTGAAGGAGGCAGCCAATGCTGCCCAGAGGACATCTGATTCTGCCAAACTTTTCTTGCCATGGGACTGCTGCCTTCCTTGGGAAACTGTCTTGCCACACCCTGCTCTGCCAGCAAAGGGAGGGTTCTGCTGTCAGTGCCCCAACTGAGGAGGACTTTAGTTGCACAAAAGAGGACTTTGGAGAGCTGGGAAACAGAGCTTATTCCTGGGGCAGGACACAGGAGGAACTGTCCCTGTTGCTCAGGGTAAAATCTTGCCACTCGGAGCAGAAGGGGGCAGCTTTGGACGCTTAGCCTGGGCCTGGGGAGAGCCTGGGGCCCTGAAAGGGGCTCTGGCAGCCATACTCCTCAGGACACCAGCCTGTGTGGCTGGGATACACTGAGCACCGAGAGTCACCTGCCCCTGGGATGAATGCACCGAGGTCTATTTGTCACCCATGCACTTACCAGGCCACTCCAGCCCTGCCCCTCCCCACCTCCTAGCTCTCGATCCACACAGCCAGCCGCACCCACCCACAAACGATTTCCTGAGAGGCTACTCAGGGCCATGGCCTGGAGCTCAGATGCTCACGCCATGGGAGACTCAACCTAGCAGGGAAGATGGGCAGCTCTCCTCCCCAGCCATCACTTCTCTCAGGCCCATCACCTTGTTCTGCCGGACAAGTTTGTTCCCGAGTGTACCTTCCGAAGCCAGCTTGGCACCTGGCCTTGACTGAAGACCAGCTCTGGGCTAGGACGTCCTCCCTGCTCCTGCAGGGGCCTCGGGACTCTGTGGCTGGTGATGCACCCAGGCCTCTGGGTAGCAGCTCCTCTGACCTTGTTTGGGGGAGGCAGTAAGGTCTGAGCGCCTGGCAGACCTGAGGAGCCCAGAGCAAAGGAGGTGGAGCCAGAAGAGAGGAGCTCTCTGTGTGGATAAGACTGATGCCCAGGAGCTTGGGAGCCTGGCTGGCAGAGGGGTGGGGAGAGGTCCAGGCAGCTCACAGCCACTGTGAGAAGTCTGAGGTCTGGAATTCCACTGGGGGAGGTGGGGGGCAAAACAGCTGTACAAACCCAGGGCCCACGTGACTTCATCTCCTTGGGGTCGCTGTAGATTCCCTGGACCTCGGTGGACTACTCCACCCCGGGATTGAGGAAGAGGTCTGGAGAGAACCAGCACCCCCTGTAGCTTGTAACCAGCTAAGGGAGAGCCTGCCAAGTTATTTAACTTTCAGTAAAGCAAGTGACACATGTACTGAAAACTTGTTTGTTCAGTTATCAGGGGTTGGGCAGGTAGTGCAGGCTTGGGGTGGGCCAGGGACCCAAGGAGAGAAGGGCCCAGGGCACATACACCTTCACACACCCATTTCAGTTTTTCTTGCTCTGCTGCACCTTGGAGGCAAAAAGATAAAGCAGGCTTTCACCTTAAACTTGAGCTTCTGCTCCTTTTTGCAGAATACCCCTATTGTAGGGAAACCCAATCTGCAAGCCGTGTAGCACTTCCTGAAGCCCTGAAGCTCTGAGGTGAAGGGACTTATCTTGTGGGTGGTGGCAGGAGGATCCCACACGTGTGAGACTTATTTATAAGGTTCATCGAGATTCGGCACTGATCGAGATTCGGCAGCTCTCAGACGGCTTTGTTAAGTGCTGAGTTCCACAACAATTTATTTTTGATAATCTAGTTGGCTCAGAGATGTGATGGCATGCGGGAGACTCACAAATGTGGAGGAAGAAAATTCTGAAAAATCAGGGATACAACTCTGTCTCCTTCTTTAGACAGTGTTATCTCAAGTCCATGTGGCCGGAGGTCAGAGGCAGAACGCCTGCCTGGCCCTGGCATCGCAGGGAGCCCTTTTCTCATTTTCTAAGGATTGTTTCTCATGCTACAACTAAGGAGGCAAAGGGGGAAGGAGAAAGAGCTCTCTTCACTTGCTCAGACAGCACCAGGATGACGGACACTTGACCACTTGGCCATCAGCCTGGAGTAACTATAGGCTCCTTCCTCCTGAGGCCACGGAATATTCTGGTACTACAGGTCTGCCCCAGCCCTCAGTGGGAACAGACAGGGGCAGGTCTTGCTCAGGCTTCTGACCCTGTAAGCACTCTATCCTCCTGGTCCTTGGGGAAACCTCAGTCATCATCAGAGTCTCATAGGCAGTGTCTGACCTGCCAGCCAAGGCCTTGAACTTGGAGGGAGGCATAGGCTTGGAAATGTCTCTAGTTGGTACCTTGTCCTCAGAGGTAGTTGGGCCCTGTACCCACAGGCTGGGGTCAGTTTGCAAGCATGGCTGCTGCATTCTTTGCTGACAGGGATAGGGGAGCCTCACTAGTCTTTGTCTTTTTCTTCCTTTTCTTCTTTTTGCTCCCAAGTGATACCTGATCCCCATTTGGGGTGGTGGCTTTGGCAGAGTTGGCGCTGGTCTCCTCCTTGGCTTTCTTTTTCCGCTTCTTTGCTTCTTTTTCTACCTTGACAGGGCCATGGATGGCTGACTCCTGGAGAATGTCAGAGGCTGACACAGCTGCCTCCTGGCACCTCTGCCACTCTTCATCACTGTCCTCACTGCTGCAAGGGGGGAGGTAAGGGGTAGCCTGGGTCAATTGCAATTGAGAAAAGGTCCCAAAGCTGACCCCTTCTGTCCAAGCCACCAGAAAAGAGGACACAGAAGGAGACAATGAAAGAGCTCAGACTTGAGAGTGACACAGACCTGGGTTCAAGTATCAGCTTCTCTCCTGACCAGCTGTGTGACCTCATTAAGTGACTCAACCTCTCTGATCCCTGTGTCTTCATTTATAAAATGGGGGTCTTAACATAGCCCAGGCCTCAATGTGATAAAGTGCAAGTGAGGTGTTTGGCACAAGTTGGACACTCAAAAAGCAGTAAGCAGGCAAACCCAAATCCTGACACCACCTCCTCATCTCCTCACTGAGTGTATGGTTTCTCCAGCTACTGCACATAGCCCCTTCCTTGGCCTGGACCTGACTGGAGTCTGCTTGGAGATTGGCATGGACTAGGCAAGACAGAAGAGCAAAAAGGAGGAAGCTGGGGTCTGGCGTGAGATCTTACCTGGAGGGTGGTCGCTTCTGGCGGGGCTGGGGAGAAGGCTCCTTCTCAGGGCCACCAGGGATGGACGTGAAGAAAAGGCGGAAGCCTAATATTCAAGGGGGCAGAGTCAGCACCCTGAGATCCTGGCCCCCTCTCCCAGGTACTGAGGCTGCAATCCTGCCTCTCTGAGTTCTCAGTCCAGAGGCAAAGACCTGGAATCACTCTCATCTAACTATAAAACGATGTGTTGTTATCGGTAAATGCCTATTGGAGCCAGAGGACACTGTGTTTTTGGGGACACTAGTCTCCAAAAGATCCTAGAAGTCAGGGTTCTGGAAGCTGACAAATAAGCCCCCAAGGCAGCCTCCAAGGTGACAAATGTCTTGGGTGTGGAGCGGACAGACACGCAAGTGAGGCTGTGGAAGCCCCTGCTCAGGGTGAGACTGACGAGGTTGTAGCAGGAGAGTGGCTTCATTTCTCAGAGCCTCACTTTTCATGTCTGTAAATGGGGGTACCATTGTAATACTTGCCTCACAGTGGCGGCTATGTGAACGAAAGAAACTATATCAAAATTGTATTGCCCAACTCCACGTACATACATACCCATTGCGATCAAGTAAATTCTGACTCATAGCGACCCTATAGGATCTGATAGAGCTGTCCCACAGGGTTTCCAAGACTACAGATCCAGGCACACAGTAGGTGCTTAATAAACGAGGGATGTTATTACCAGTTTCATCACTCACCATCATCCTCTGAGGCAGCTTTCTGAATCTTGGCCTTTGCTGGTTTCTTCTCTATTTCTGAGATGGTAATGGAGCTAAGGGGAGAAGAGATAATAGTTGATTTAAGATGAGATTTTAGATAGCAAAATACATTTTTTTAATTAAAAAAAAATATATATATATAAGTGGATGCGATAGGGACATGATCTTAAGTGCAAAAGCAGACAGCACATCGGCCTGATGAGAATTCTATTGCCTAGGCCATAGCATGCTGACCACAACCCCTGCCAGCTCAAACTGCAGTGTTTCACTTGTTTAAACTCCTTTATTCCAAGGTTGAAAGATGTTTTAAAGATACCCAGTGGAGAGAATAAGGGCTGTGTATGCACAGGGAGACAGCTTAAGTGGAAGGAGTACATGGAGGAAAGGACACAGGGAAGCAGAACTATAGGGAGGGAGTGGGAGGGGAGCTGTTGCATTCTGGTAAACTGTAGTCAATGTCATGAGACAAAGTGTATGTGAGCTGCTGTATGCAAAGTTGAATTTGCTCTGTAAACTTTCACCCAAATCACAATTAAAAAAAAAAAAAAAAAGACACCCAGTAGACAACACAATGAATGCAATTTCAAACAGACCAAAGAGAACATAAGGGCACAGAGAATAGAAGGAACTGGAAGTGTGGTCAGGAAGTCCTATATACTTGACCCTACAACAATTTCAAAAGACAATACAAGAACAAAATGACAAAATAAATGAAAAATTAGAAATGATACAAAATCTACAGACAGAAATCCAGATAGCATATATTTTGCTCTGAGCTTCCTAGCAGCAGGCATGAAAAGGGAAATATGACCAGTCTAGCAAAGTGGTTCAAAGCTCAGCTTCCAAAGCAGGGTAAACCTGTTGTTGTTGTTTTTTAATTTGTTTGCTTTCGCTTTTTCAATTTTGAGATAATTGTAGATTCACATGTAGCTATAAGAAATACAGAGAGATTCCATGTACACTTCAGATTTCTCCCAGTGGTAACATTGAGCATAACCATTGCACAGTATCACAACCAGGAAACTGATAAAATCTACCCACCTTATTCAGATTTCAGAGACCTGGGGTGTGAATCATGGCTTTGTCACTTACTAGCTGTGTCCCCTTTGGCAAGTGACTTTACCTCTTTGAGCTTATTATTCATCTGAACATTGAGAATAGTAACTGATAACAACTCTCAGGGCTGTCATGAAGATAACAGATACCAGACATTTAGCACAGACCTGGGCACAAGCAGGTGTTCAATAAATGGTGGGTATGATGTTGATGGAGATAATGATTCTTTTTTTTTTTTCTTTTTATTGTGATTTGGGTGAAAGTTTATAGAGCAAATTCATTTTCCATTCAGCAGTTCATATACATTTTGTTTCATAACATTGACTGTAGTGCCCACAATGTAACAGCTCTCTTCCCACTTCCTCCCTGTAGTCACCTCTTCCCTGTGTCCTTTTTTTTTCTATGCATTTCTGCCCCCTGAGCTATCTCCCTGTGCAAATATTGCCATTTTGTTCTCCCATGATTGATCATTCTAAGGAATATATCTACCTGGTGTAAATGTTCACTCTATATGCCTATGTACTGTCTGGCTGGAACCCATGGGAGTTAGTTCAATTCCAGGCCTGAAGACTACCTAGGGGCATGGTCTCAGGGGTTTCACCAGGGTCTATCAGACCAGTAAGCCTGGTCTTTTTTTTTAGGATTTTAAGTTTTGTTCCATATTGTTCTCCTATTCTATCCAGGATCTCCTGCACTGACCCTTTTCTGAGTGGTGGAGTGTTAGCTGGGGACCATCTAGTTCTTCTGGTCTCATGGTCACATATTCTGAGCTTCACATGGTCCACCAGTTTCTTGGACTAATTATTTCATGCATCTTTGGTTTTCTTCATTCTTCTTTGTTCTGCACATAGAGAAACCAATTGCTGCATCTAGATGGCTACTTGCAAGCTTGTAAGACCCCAGCTGCTACTCACCGAAGTAGGATGTAGAACAATGTTTCTGTGTTATGCCAATTGACCTTGATGTCACCCATGACCATGGTCCTGAGCCCACAGGTCCAACAACTCACTTGACGGAGATAATTCTTATCATCAACATCAGCAAAAAGCTCTGTAAGACTTCTAACATAAGAATAAACCACATCTCTCTAGAAGCACAGAGGGACCAGAGAAAACTGATGACACCAAGAAGCAGGCTTACATTGTGTCCCTCCAAAATGTGTGTTGGAATCCTATCCCCTGTATCTGTGGATGTGATCTTGTTTGCGAACAGGGTCTTCTTTGTTATGTTAATGAGGCTATATCATAAGTTTGTCCTAAATCCAATCACTTTTGAGTTATAAAAAGAGCGGATTAGATACAGAGACAAGCAAGCGGGTATGTGGAAGACACATACATACTACCCAATGACGGTGTAGGCAGATGAGTCTACAAGCCCAGGAACTCCATGCATTGCTGGAACAGACAAGGAAGCTGAAACAGACAAGGAAGGACCCTGGTAGAGGTCTGAATTCATACTTCTAGCCTTTTGAACTGTGAGAAAATAAATTTCTGTTTTTTAAACCCACCTACTTATGAAATATGTGTTACAGCAGCACTAGCAAACTACGATGGCAAATTCTTAACAATGTCCTCACGGCAAACAGAGCCACACACTAGGTTCTCGCTCCTAATGTCCTTCTGTATAGGCCAAAGGGATCCCCCAAAGCCCTGTTTAGGAAAGGCAATCTGGGAGAAGGAGTGGAGATATGATGTTCAGGTACATGATGCTGACCTGAGGATCTAACATAGTGGTTTTCACCCATAGAACCTGAGGCAAAAGTTTAGAGACATTTCTGGTTGTCACAATTAGGGGGATGGGATGCTACTGGCATCTAGTGGGAGGATGCCAGGGATGCTGTTCAACATGCTACAATGCATAGGATAGTGCCCATGACAAAGAATTACACAGCCCAAAAGGTCAATAGAGCTAAGGTTGAGAAGCCCTGATCTAACGTAAGAGACCAACTGGTGTAGCACTTAAAACTCTTTGGAGAGAAATATGAAAAAGTGCTACTAGATCCAATTTGAAGATGGAGGAATGCCTAGGCAGACAAGTGACACAGACCCTCTTCAACAAAGAAAAGAAAAACCAGTTGAGAGAGATACAGAAGATAATCCCGGAGCCCTGAGCTTTGAAATAAACTACACAGGCGTGGATTAGGCACCAACTAGTGGAAAAATCTGAACGAAAACAGTGAGTACAGAGATGGTCAGAGCTGCTGACTATCAGCTACTCCGACCGGACCAACAGCCTGAATATTTCCAAGTGGTGTTGGGACCTGAGAACTGACCTAAAGATCAACCCTGGTCAACAAGGGCTGTAGGGACAACTGCACTGGTGGCCTATGACTAGGAAGGGAAACAGCAAGGAGAAAGACAATCTGAGCTGTGCACTTTCTGCTGTCAGGAGGGCGCAGTCATTTTGATTGTTTACACGTGACAGCCATTTTGGATATTTAAAGTGACCGACAGTGCACCAATTTTGAATGTTTATAAGCGGTGGCCATTTTGGAATATTTAAAATGACTGAGGGCACAGAAATTTTGAATCTTTACAAGTGACAACCATTTTGGATTTTAAAGTGGTAGCATTCTCATTCGGATTCCAGGGACCTAAGAATAGGCTCTGTTTGCCAACGTTGGCAGGGACATACGAGAGGCCAACAAAGGAAAGGAGACAGGTGGCGAGTGTATAAGTGCTGTCAACTAGTGAATAGAGGAGCACAGTACCCTGCTTGTGTAAATAACATACAAACAAAACAAAGAAAACGAAAATTGTGGGCAAGTCACTCTAACATACAATCACCAATTAAATATAGACACAAAAACGTCCTAATGCCTCAGAGACAACAGAGCATCACAGTCCACACAAAGAAGCAAGATAAAGCAGGAGAAACAAGGGACCAGTATACAGACCCAAAACACATCCCTGAGGAAGACACAGCATTGGAACGCCCTGATAAGGAATTCAAAAGAATTATATTTAGGTATCTTCAACAAATTGAGAGACAGATCAAGG